AGAAGTGTGGAGTTTGCATGTTCTCTCCATGTTCACATGCATTATCTCCCATTTTTAGTTCCAAGACATTATCTCAGAGATCGACCGTGCCTTTGAGGGGGGAAAAAAAACTGTCCTTAAGCAAATATTTAACTATTTTCTAACCATTTATAAAGTAAATGGATAAAAAACCTGATTTAGATTCAGTGTTAGAAAAAGACAAAGTATTGATGCAGCGCAAAAGGTATTCAGATGTTTCCAAGATCATCTTTGGAAAAGCTTGCACAGATTAGAACCTTTGTCATATTTTCAATGTGAATGCCTCTGTTATATGCTGGGGGTCAGGCTTGCAGGTGAACTCGTGGACCATGACATTATCAGACAGGTAAGGCGTGAGAGGAGACCAGTGGCATTCAGATCCAAGAGTCTCATTAAACTTCGTATAAGAAGAAGCTACAAAATCAGCCCCCAGAAAATAATTTTGCCGATTGGTTCCATACCCTCAAACCTCTTTGTGCAAAAAAAGTTGCCTTTGTTCTTTGTCCTTTGTCTCATACTGTACATAATGCACAGTTTGTGTACTCTTCCTTTTATGATTCTGAATAACTCTGCAGTTAAGGTCTTTAAAATTGGTCATAAAATCATGTTTGCAGAATGTGATTAAGCTGGGCATTCTTGCACCCCAGTCTGGATGGCACAGTCACAACCAAGTGAAGTGCATTTAGTCTTCAGGCAGACACATACTGTACATACACAAGTCTGTGATGAGAAATCTCATACTCCTGGAGGTTGCAAACAAGCAGAAAAGACATAAAATGCAAATAAGCAAGATGCATGTTGAAAAATTATGCCTAAACATTTTATTTTACTTTCCAAGTACAAGTACAAAATACAAGTGTTGTATTATTGTTTTTGAGTGAAGGGGATTTTTTTAAAGCCTTGTATGACTGCTAATAATACCATTTCCTAAATTTAACTGTAGGTTTGCACAGTCATAGAAATGTTTTGCAGAACTGAAGTAAAATGTTTTGCAAGCCTTTACTATGTTTCTCAAGATGTCTGCCGCAGTGCTGAATTAGATGAAGGGGTGTGGTTTCTGAATTAGTGTGCAAATTTGTAATTTACTTCACTACCGATACTTTAAAATTGTGTTAAAAATGCAGTTTCAGGCAGATGAACTAGAATTAAGTAGCATTACGTATCTTGAAGAAAAACAGAATTGCAAAGATGTAATACTGTTTTTATAAAAAAATATAATACAAATATAAAATAAATATACATATAAAATAAAAACCCATTTACTGCTATTAATTAGCAGGAATCGGCCGTAATTAGCAGAAACATTGCTATAATATTACAAATACTACAATGCTCTTGTCAAGCTAACAATGCAACACAATGACAACAACTTTAAAGGATCTATTCTCACAAAACAGTCAACTCATGAAGAGTCCAACGTGATGCTTCTGAGCATTGCAGCAAGCCTGTTCCTCTACTCCAATCACGCTGCATGTCTTCGGCTTTGAATCAAGATTTCTTACTGGCTGCATGAGGGTTTGAAACGTCTTCTGGTCAGCTCATTCTGTTTTGTTGGCTCCGGCAGACAATTAGTGGATAAAGGAGAAATCTTTCTCACTGCATTAATAAGCTGTACTTCACCATATTAAGCACGGCCCCTTCCCCCCTCTTTCCTTTCTGGGACGCCCTCAAACAGTTCCTCATTGCGAGATTGTGACATCACAGGCACTGTGCTCCAGCAGTCTCCTTCACTCTTTCAGCTATGTGTTTTACTTAAGACTTTCTCGTGAAACTGCAATGTCTAGTTTGACAGCCTTTTTGATAACCCTGGACTGGTTAATACAGTATGTATATAAAATATTTCCTCTTTGCCTGCAAAGCATTTTCAACAGCACAAGATATCAGTGGAATTTGCAGAATAAATGCATAAGTAACTAGTGTGCTGGGGTTACAGTGTGAAGTTACTGCACCTGGAATTGCAATATGACATCTTTAACACTGCTCATGGCCTTAATATAGTCTACGTAAAGTATTTGATAATATTAGGTTAGTACTGTGTTACAAAAATAAAAAAAGTGCTATAGGGAATGTCAGTGGAACTGCTCCATCACATTATGCTAGGATTAGATTTGGTGAAAATAGTGCTGAAAAGTAATAGAGAATGCAATGAGAATAACAAACAGGGGTACAGAATCCCCTGTAAGCAGTCAGGAGATTACGTTGTGTTAGCTAAGTCCCTAACTATGCTTTGTCAAAATAAGGTTTTGGGTTGCCTGAGGAAAAAGTGGAATTTTGTAGATAAAATGAAAACATAATGCCCCACACAAACCTGGGGAGAACATGCAGACTCCAGACAGACAGCACCCTGGGTCTGGAGTTGAAACCAGGCCCCCAGAGCTAAGAGGCAGCTAACGCTAACCACTGTGTCACCATGCTGCCCCTCTTTAAACCTGTCAGCCTGAAGTTCTTATCCCTTCCTAACATGAAGTGAGTTTCAACATTTTATCATATTTCATCCCTAAATCACCTTCTGTGGAACATTGTTATCAAAACTTATTCCAAGGAACAGAAGTGTTCACAATCAATAAACTTTTATAATCACACTCATCCCGGGAGAAGGGAGTATAATTGTGACTCATTAAATTTATAGAAGTCTTTGCATTTACTAGCCAGAGTGAAGTATTTAAGAGCAGCCTAAAGAAAAGAAGATTTGGCTGTATGACTGTCTAAATCTCAGCCTCTGTGAATTTTGTTTTTGATCACTGAATTAACATTTTAAAACAAATACATAATGCACAATCAAGAACAATAAAAACAAAGATACTCTTCTCTCACAGTAAATAGGTCAGATTTAATGTTCTGAATCGCAGCTTGGTTTGACTCACTTTTATAACTATATGTTTTCTAATCAATCTACTCATTTAATCTCAAAAAGATACGTCTGATAATACTCCCCTCTCTTGAGAATTGATTCATAGGAAGCTAGAGGGAGATTTTTATCAGTGTTCAGCTTGGCCTCACGACCATACTCAGGGCAAGTAACCAAATACAGTCCCATGTTGTTCATTTGAAAACTACTTAATAAGCTAATGAGTTAGTTAACTAATTTTTGAAAGATTTAGTAAAGTGATCAATAGATCTAGTATGGGTAAAGACTATGATTTTGTGAGGGTTTCTACAGGACAACTGCATTCAGATCCAGAGAACAGTTTTAAACATTATTATATAATTATTCTAATTCTTCTCACGTTTGTATTACGTTGTTACACGCCATGTCATTTGCCTTCTGTATCAAAATCACTAGACTAGTTTTGGCAGTTTTATGATGCAAAGACAATTATGTATTTTAGAACACACGAGTGATGTAATACGATGCTGTTTTTTTTTTAATTAAAAACGGATCTTGGAAGCGCGCAGGATCTCAAGTGGAAAATTCAGGAACCCCCAAATCGTAATCTAGTAGTTTGCAGTGTAAAACGGGAGTAGAATTTCAATTAAAATACTTAAATAGGTTTTGAGGGCTTCAAATACTGGCAAGAGCACTTTAAATGCTGCTCCGTATTAGCCATCTATCACCATCTAGTGGAGCAAGTGTAACTCGCTGAGGCACCACCGTGTTGAGACGCAGATGGTGGTTAGCTCTGTCGTGTGTCCTCACAGGGTCCTGCAAACGTCTTGGGTTGTGTGCATTTTGCGAGTTCTCCAGTGTTTGCCTGGGTTTTCCCCGGACACTCCGGTATCCTCATACGCCTTGCGTGCATGCGAGGTTTGATCGACTCCTCCACCTTTCAGGGGGTCCTGAATTGTTCCCGGTACCGTACGACTACACACTTGAGACATTTGAGGTTCTAACTGTGATTGTCCAATTTCCATTGATGCAGTACCAAATAAACTGACTTCCTTTTATTGTCCCAGACGTGACATTTGCATTACAGGCACGTAAAAGACACATCACAATACACTGCACATTTAACACAGGATGAAACCATTATCAGATGAGAGATCAGAGAAATGTGTGATCAGAAAGAAAAAAAAATCAAATAAAATGCACAGTCACTTGTCGAAATTAAGATGGTTAATAGCTGTGGGAATAAAAGATATCTTAGTTCTAGAGCATTTGAATCCGGGTAGTCTAACACTAATTCTCAATCGAAGCTGAGATGGAAGGAGGTCAGATTCACTGTGCAAGCGGTGGCGATGGCAGTCAGTGTTAGGATGAACGTTAGGACACATTCAGTAAAAGTTCTCTAGAATAAGGTAATTGCTGTAGTACGCACATTAACAGAGTGGGGTTTTCTCAGGGAGAAAAATCGCTGTTCTAACATATGGCATCTATCACCATCTAGTGGAGAAAGTATAACTCGCAGAGTAACACCAAAAGTCATTGTCGTGGTACACACAACGTCTTGATTACAAGACTGGCTTGTAATCAACAATAGTGTCAAGATACCTGTAACTGCTGACAATGCATTATTAATAAAAGGTATTAGTATTACAATAATTTAAACTGGTTTGGCGTTCTATTTTCATAAAATAATGCTGCTACTGCAGTTGCTATTAATAAGATACCGTTATTGCTGTGGCTGCCTGATAGAGGTTACTTAGTAGTCAATTTACAGTTTGCATTTCTAGATTCCAGTATAAATGGAAAAAAAAATGCATTTTAATTGTGTTAAGGGGTGCACTTCATTTCATAAATCCCTGCTAAGCAGCAGTTTGTGTGTTCTCGGAAGAGATTCCAAAAGGATTCAGAAAACCTTCCTCAATTTCAAAAACACCGTTCTAGTTTGCAGAATCTTTTGTTACGGTTGTGAATCACATAGGAGCCTGATCTCTAGTCCTGACTACATTTCCCAGTGTCCCCTTGTCTCTGCCTGCGCAAGGTGCTCAGACCTTCTCAAGATGGCGACCTGGGTCAGCCTCTACGTTCTGACAGGCGGCGCGTCACAGTCAAGCTATTTTTTTTTAACAGTGGCTCTTGGGTATTTCTGCGCATGCGCGGCTTGGGCCAGAGTGCAGAGCGAAACTCCAAAGATAGGGAGAGACTCTGCGTCTCGTTATTTATTTAACACGTCTCTTTCAATTGATACGCAATACTTACCAGTTTAAACTGCAGGTTTATTGTTCTAAGACCTTAAAGTACACAACCATGACGGAGCTGCAGTCTGCGCTGTTACTGAGGAGACAGCTGGCAGGTAAATTCAAAGGGACGGAGGAGCGACAGAGGGAAAAAGGCATTTATAGCTAGCTGTGTTTTGTTAGCAATTGTTTTCAATTTGTCCCACTTTCGGCACGCATCTGTCTTGAACGCCTGCCGTGCTCGCAGCAGTCTTGAACCAAAGCCCACCAGCAAAATGAAAGTGGCGTCGGACTGTTCCGTTAACTTCAAGTTGTGCAGGGTCTGGGGAGGGGGGGGGTATTTTTTTGACATGTATCCGGGGCCTATTCCGTGTCGGGTTTTGTTCAGGAGTTTGAGCGTCTTATTGCTGGAGACACGGTGCAAGGCCAAAATTTCCACCTTCCTTTTTGTTGCCGCTGGGCTCCCCTACGTCTGCCGCGGTCTCTGTGCGGACCTACACCTCCCCCCCGGACTCTGGAGGAACAAGCAGCCGCTGTCGCTGGACCAGCTCGCTCGCCTTTGTTTTTAGTGTCACTTTAAATCATGCCGGACTGAAAGCGTTGCGTTTTTGTCGGGTGGCAGGAGAGGAGGGGGGGCCCCCGTGGGGTCGGACGAGCACCCCCCCCGATTAAAGTGCGGACGTGGCGGGGGGCGGCGTGGGCGTTCGCCCGGTGGAGCCTCTCCTGCGGGGAGCCCCGAGTCGCGCCGGCCCTCGCCCCTTTGTCCCCCTTCCCCATGCCGGAGCTGAGTGACAGGCAGCCCCGCTCCGAGCGGCTCAGCGCGGCCCGGCGCCAGGGCGCATGCGCACGGCCGCAGCGGCGCACCATGTGCTGCTGCTGCCGGACGGTCGGCTTCGCTCGGGGGGCCGTGACAACAACTTTAGGGTAACGTTACACCCTTTGCCAGACAACCCCCCCCCTTCTCCCCTCCCCCCCCCACCGCAGTCGGGCCTCTTTCGCGTGCACTGCGAATTTCTCGAGCCGCGTTTCATCTTAATGTGCAGTCTCTGCAGCCGGGACGGGCATGCTTCTAGAGACGTGGTCAAATGATTCTGGAAGTGGTGGTGGTCCCCCAGGCAGGGCCCTTGTAGTGAAAGGAAGACGCAAAAAGGGTTTTCCAAACATAGTTTCTCATTGGTCGTTCGTGAAGTGTTCTACGATGCGCACCGCTGGGTTGGGAGTTCTAGAAATTACCAGTCCGTACCGTGCCTTCCGTGGCACGGAAACAGCTTTGCAGATTTGCAGGTTTGCCAATAGCTGCAGTTAATATTCTATCCACCCTACCATTAAGAAGACTTTTACACTGCCTGGTTACATCGGCTGCTTTTTTGGTCCAGATCGATTTTTACTGTGGAGTCGATTTCTAATTGTGATTCCACACCAGTCAGGTGTGTGTGTAAAAAAAAAAAAAAAAAAAAAGTGATTGCAAATCAGAACCATTCTGTTTTGGTTGCAGGGACCTGTCAAAATGTAGACTGTGCCTTCAGCCGTAGTGCTTGCAAAGCTATTCATGATTGTGCGCTGACCTTTCATAATAGTTCAGGTGGGTATCTGCGTTAGCATGTGTAGGCTGCAAAGGAACAAGTAATAGGTTTATTCCATTCTGAAAAGAGAAGACAGAAAACACAACGTTGTTTTCTTTCTTCTCTTTTCAGAATGGAATAGACCTCTTATTTGTTCCTTTGTGACCTTTTATAACTCCAGTAGAGCTCCTGCATGCCGGATCTCCGCAGTGACTCCTGGAAAAATATTCCTCCCAGTGTACCTCTGGGAGCCGAAGTGGGGTGGGGGGGGTCTATGGAGCTGCAGATCAGATCAAAAGGCAGAGATTTTTGGAAAGGTAAAGCCTTTGAAATAAGCCTCTTTTCTGCTGTTCTCTATGAAGTGGCCTACTTGTGTCAGGAGCTCATCTCTTTTGCTGTTATTGATTTTCAGCATTTTCAAATCTGTACAGTGAGGGGGGGGTGGGGGGGATTTCTAAAAGCAAACTGCAGTATACAGAATATATCCCATATTAGGAAATACCTTTGTCAGTAAGTTTTAAATTGTTGTGGCAGTGTAATGAGAGATGACATCATTGTTACCTGCTTGAATTGGACTGCAGGATACGTTTGCATGCAGCAGTGTGAAGGTTTAGTTAGGCGTTTCTTGATCAATAAGATCAGAAATTTGTTTTGTTCTGATTTAAAGTCAGCAATAGAAACTGAACTGCATTCCTACAGTCTATATGGGAAGGAACATTTAAATCTTCAAATTGGAAATGTTAAAACCCATCTAAATGCATAGTGTAATTATAGTAGGCCTATATAGTAATTATAGTAATACTAAAATGTGGTTTGAGGAAAAATAATCAATAAAAGTTACTTTTGTCACCATTTAAGCAGGTAAAAGCTATGGGTTTTGGTTGCAGGGGCTATTGAACAAGAAAGCTGAGCTATTAATGTGCTCTGCCTATGAGCTATCATTGTAATCAGTCTTTGATGCCCGACTTGTGGCTTAATTTTTCTGAAACGGATAGCTGCATGGTGATGCTGTGCTGAGCATGTCACTCGGTCAATAAAGGCCTTTGGGAGTAACCTTTTACCAGGCTTCTATAATGCTGCATGTCCCTGTTCTTCATCTCCAGGGTAGAAGCTTGAACTGATTGCAGGGGAATAAGTGGGACCCAGTGCGTCCTGGTATTTCATACCTAGGGTTTGGGAAGTCCTCCTCCTCTCATATCCAGATCTAGGGGGCAGTTTAAAAAACAGTTCTGCTAGTATGGGCTTCCCCTACCCTGCCTCAGGCACAGTAAAAGAGGGAGGCAGAACTCCGCTGTCTTCTGCAGTTTCCAACAGACCTCAGTGAATGTGACATTTATGACCTTAGACACTGTATCTGTCCTTAAATGCCATTTGTTCAGATATAGTGCTTGTCCCGATGGCTTGGCTGTCTCGGTCCTGTTTAGATTACTTTATATTTCCTTTAAATAACCTGTGCTATTACCATAGCCCATATTGCCTTGGACATGGTAGCACTGTGCCACTGTCGCAAACAAAAAAAAAAAAGAAGTAAATTTTGCCTGACTCTGTTTCACTGTTTCCTAATTTTCCAATGTTTTCAGATCTTTTTATCTTGGCATCAACACTGGTGAACTGTTGCAATTAATGTTATAACTATTAACTTTTCATAGGAACTTTCACCCCAAAGCTGTGCTTCCAGAAATCCATAGTGCCAAGCTTAGTTTGAACATAGTGTGGAGATGGTACTGCACCTAAGGTAGATAACGTCTAAAACCTTGTTTTAGACATCATGAATGAAGTTGTGCTGTGTGGCCTTAGGAGTGAGTATATTAAATGAGTGCATTTATAGCTAGATGTCTTGGTCAGTGCTTGCATTACACATGGAAATGGAGCCAGAAAAGGACACTTCTGGCCAGATGTAGTACGATATGAGTTCCTTTTCACTATTTCCATTCATATTTGTTTACCTAGGAGTCTGTAATTCAAGTTTTCAGTGTTGGGACCTGTGGGTGTTGGATATAGGATCGTGTATGCTTTTTTTGTATGGCAACATCACTGTAGCACGTCGAAATCGGGGACATGTTTCGAGCTCGGATTGTTTAGGGGATTTAATGCTACTGTTCAGCCTGGCAGGTGCCCTGTGGGAAACCACGTTGAAATGTCATTCGCTCTGCTGGCCTGGACGTCTTGTAAATCTGAGAGACAGGACTGTAAATCCGTGAAGGAGCAAGGTCGAACTATCGCATTGAAACAGAGGTGGCTTCATAAATACAAGCATTTTAGAAGTTAGATGCACACATATTGGTCTTGTTGTGATTGTGGTTGTAAGTTATCTTCTGTGATTAAGGACAACTCAGTTCTTGCACTTCAAGATTCATATGCCTTTAAATATAAATTTACTTGAACTGCTATAGGGGTAAGGAACTGAGTTATTTCATTTAAGATCTCAAGCAGAAAGTGGCAAGTCTTTGCACAAACCTAGGAGATGTTTTTTTTTTACGTGCTTCACTGAGTATGTGTAAAATGTATTTTGATGCATTTCATATATGGCACTTGTCAACCTGGATATCACAATACAAGGTAACAACAACTGTTGAAGACTTGTAAGGGCAGATTTTATGTTTTGTTTTTAAGTCATTGAAGTTCTTTTGTGTTTGAGAGAGAGCCACAGGACTAGGATACTTTACCTTAACACTTAAAAGAAATGTTGCTTTGAGTAGCCTATATTATTCTACAGCCCTGTCTATAGCAAGGTAAAAGGTAAAAACAAATCCTGAAATGTTCCCCGATGCTATATCTCTCTCGAACAATGGAAAGTAACTCTTATCTCCTGTAACACTATTGTACCATCTTCTCTGTTGGTAATGTGTTACTTCCTTGTTGTATTGTACTGGGAAAAACATAAAATAAAGAGGATAGTAAAGCTTGAATTGAATTTGTTAAGCTCATGGTAAGCATGTGCAGTGTATCTAGGTGCATTGCAGAGCTCAGCCCAACAAAAAGAAACAAATTGGGTGGAGGGAACATGATTTTTTTTACATTCCTCTGATGCGCAAGTGTTTTTTATGTTTATGAACAATTCCATTCGCACTTGCTAATTTCAGGTAGCCACTGGTGTTTTAGCTTGGTGAAAAAACAATGTAGTACAGGAAAGTGTAACCTGGCAACAGGTGCTCTGTTTTAAATACAACAGACCTGATCTTAGTTCATGCTACAGATGTCCCTCTCTGTTTTTGAATACTAAAAAAGATGCCATTGGCTAGCAAACAGTATATTGAATTTAGCATGTGGTTTGTACGCCTTGTGGAAGTTGGACAGGTCCTGATGACAAGTCTGACTTGGGTCCTTTCCACTTAATTCACTGGTCAGCCTGCTAACGAGGTAAGCCTTTTAATAATCTGTGACGGCTGGGTGAGGAGAGCGATCATGGTACAGGTTTTAGTTTGCAGCTGTCCCTTTGGCTGGGGCGGTGATGCAGCATTTGGGAGCTGAGCCCTTAGCCGGCCCTAAAACATGCTTCGGTCCAAGGCTGGATGGCTCCGATTGTAACTAATGCAAGGCACCTGCTCTCTGTAACTCACTATGCAGCCTTTGTTCGTTTTAACCTAATGAACCCTGCAGTAGTGTGATAAATGACCGTCAGGTTTGTGAAATGGGACGCAGGCTTATGGTGCTGTAATCCTGTATCTGAAAGTCAGATGCTTGGTTCTCTAGTGACGTGTTGTCCTATGGGGTTTCATAACTCCCCTCCCCCTCTCTCCTCCAGCAAGCATCTCTCTGAGGCGTCATCACGGTAGAATCTGAGGACTGAAGCTCATTTGGCGTGTTTTATTGAATGCAGGGGCCAGTTGCATAAAGACATGTTAAGCGGGAGAGATCTGTCTGTTCGAAAATGTTGCATTGTGGTGCATTAAAATGGTGCAAAGAGATGCATACAAAAGCTGGAAATATGCGAGTCAAGGTGAATAAAAATAAAATTGTGTACAGTGGGGGAAAAAAAAATCAGTTTGGGCTGGAAGCATCTCCACCCTGAAGGAGGGCTGAAATTGTTATGGAAATGTTTTGGGGAGGATGGCTGGTAGGAGAGGCAACTCCTCCAGCTGGTGCAGTTTCAGTGGTCGAGCCTGCAGCAGCTGCAGATAGACAATGTGTGAAGATGCACAACAGCAACAGGATTGTATCCGATCAGTCATGTCACAGTATTCTAACGTGGCTCAGCTACTCTTATCTTTACAGACCTTACTGGACTTGGTGCAATACATTAATTGAATGGTTACTTTGTTTAATTATTTGGCATTCATCTACTTAAATGTGATTGCTGAAGTTATGAGTGCAGGGCAGCATACATGACCTATTAGATGACACAATGTTCAAAATACTTTCTTTTAAATGCTAAGGTACATGTAGAGCATGCCAGACTGATAGGACATAACAGTAATTATTGTTGCCACTAGATAGCAGTATATACTGTTTGCATTATCCTAAAAGATGTATGCAGCTGGGGTAGGCTGAGCTTGCTGTAGGCTGGGGAAGAGATTGAGTGAAGTTTTAATAACACGTCAGTTATAAGGGTTTGTCCCACTTTATATGTTACTGAGGTGTATTGTACCTCGTTTTAATCAAAAAGCTGTTTCCAGTGTTTCATTGTATTGTCTGCCCTATTGAGAATACCTCTGTTTGATCAGATGGTCTACATGTGTGCAGCTCTAATGGGACAGTTTTATTTCTGAAAGTATTTCTGAGATTTGTATTTGTATGAGAGGTGACTCTCTTAGATAAGTAGAGAACTGGGATAATGTTCAGCTGTACAAAAAATGGCTTGTTTGGTATTTTGGAGAAAGTGCTAAATTTCTTTGAATCCCAGGGGGTGGGAAAGTTGATTCCTGAGTTTCAGTTCGTGACTTGGGCTAGCCAGGTTTTCACAGCTGAAGATGAGCACTTCGCTTTCAGAGTGTTTCCGAAACCTGGCTGCCTGTGCTCCAGGCTGTTTGTTCCCTGACTCATGTTTTCTGAGAAGCTCAAATTCCTGGCATGTGCGTTTGAACTGTGGCTGTGACTTTAGACAAAGATCTGGTGAGTAATTAAAACGTTTTCAATTCAAATGATACAATTTCTTCCTTTTTGCTAGTTACTCCCCTGGAATGTTTACCAATATTTCGAGTCCCAACACCCCCCCCACCCACCAAAAAAACCCCATCATGGCTTCACAGGTTACTTAATTCTCTTAACCTTTGAACTTGGTATCAAGCAATACTGCTCTCAGGCTTCCCTCTTCATGTTACATTTTGTTTGTGTCAGTGTGCTATGAATAACTTGTTGCCCCTAGTATATTACTTTTGGGAGTGGTGCTGGTGAAGTCATACCCTATGAGCAAGCTTGACATACAGTATACGAGATCACGCTGTTGATCACCAAGCAGTTTCAGATCCCTATTGTCTTTCTTTGAGAACTTATGTCTTCATATTCCTTTGAAGTTTTGGTTGTCATTGTGTAGCTCTTAATTCTTACCAAGCAGCATAAAGTAATGAAAATCAGCTTTGCTTTTAGCGCTCATCTCAAGCCATAGGGGATATACAGGAATTAAGCACTTGAGTCTAAAGGGAGTATGAAAACTCTCTTCAGCAGAAGCTAACTTGAGGGTACAGAGGTAATCTTACCAGAACCGATACAGGGAAGTCATTCATGCAATGATAAAATGAATAGTTGAATGTCGAATGTGTTCACCAGCAGGACAAGATTTCTTTTGAAGTTTGCTGAAATTGACGACTGAACTGCAGCAGCACAAATTTTGTCATTTTAGCATTGAGATATGGGTCATTAATCAGCTTGTCTGTAAAGCTTTAATGACTGGTGTGTGACAGAAGAGAGGTGCACTACAGTCATTGAGCACTAGACAGATGCTGAAATTCTCATGGTATTGAAAGTGTGCTGGGGTGAACAGTTTTGAATGACCGATAATAATGGCTGCAGTCTACAATGCTCCATATTGCACCTTCATCAAGCCACCTCCCCTGCTTCAGGATCACAGGGGGCAGGAGCCTGTCCCTGCAAAGAACATGTGCAAGGGAGGGGTACACTCTGGATGGTACGCTAGCCCAGGCTGGACACACACAGAAACAATCTCGCAAACGGGGGCCGGGGCCAGTTTTCCAAGAAGCCAATGAACCTCCCAGCATGTCTTTGGACTGTGGAAGGAGACTGGAGCAGCCAGAGGAAACCCATGTGAAATTGGGGAGAACATAAGGGCTCCACACAGACGGCACCCCAGGGCCCCAGCAATGCTAACTACTTGCACTTGCTGTCCCATATTAAACATAAATCATCTAATTGCGGAAAACCTTAAATAAGTAGCACCCGTCTTAGGGACAGCCAGGCAATGCACGTTAACTTTGTGCACATTAAAGCATTTGTGTGTGTTGTTTTTTTTTACACCATGATGATTAAATATGTGTGTTTTATTTCAGCAATGTGGCGTTCTCCCTCGTGTCTACAGTTAATATTTCTTTACGCCACTGGTAATGATTTAATGACTCTGCTTTAAAGCATGGATCCTTTTCGTTCCAGAACTGAATAAAAATCCAGTGGAAGGATTCTCAGCAGGTTTAATAGATGACAATGATCTGTACCGATGGGAGGTTCTCATAATTGGCCCACCCGATACCCTATAGTAAGTATAGCTTTTAGTTTTTGTTTCGTCAAAGAGATAAAAATGGGTGTTTTTATCTCAAATCTTTTTTTCTTTTGCACCATTTGCATTCATACCGGGTACTTTTTAGTTTTTAAAGACTAGATTTAGTTTACATTAAAATTTTCTAGATCAGTACTAAGGAATCTCACTGTGCGTTTAACGCATGTTGCAATGGAAAGGTCGATTTGATTAAATTAATTTTGTTTTTTTACTAGAAGATGTATTTGTATGTGGGATATTATGAATATTTGAAGTTTCAGCTCTAACTTGCGAAAATTTGAAATCTTTTTTTAGCAAGGTTTTTTGCAAGTAGTTTAATTAGCACAATTTCAAATGAAAACCCATGATGTTTCAGTTAAGGGAAGTACTGTCTGGTATACTAAGCTTTATATGCACAGAAAAAAGGACTACACATTTAAGAGTGGTGAGATGTGATGTTTTGTTCTTGTTAGTGCATGTAACATGCAAATGAGTGTTTACCTAAAACGTGCCTGAGCATATTTGAAGATGTAAAACCCTGCTCTTGAAGGAACAGTGCAGAATTAATTTCAATTTCTGTTCACAGTGAAGGCGGTGTGTTCAAGGCCCATCTAACATTCCCCAAAGATTATCCACTTAGGCCTCCAAAAATGAAATTTATTACAGAAATATGGCATCCAAATGGTAAGTTTATTTTTTGGGGCTGTTTAATGATTTCTATGTTCTCAATTTTTTCAAGACCCAAGCAAATATTTTGACGTTGAGAGCCTTGAGTGTTGAATTCTTCCTCCTTGTAGATTTTTTTTATTTGGCCCCTTAAAAGGGATTATGCGTGTGTGTTAATTGGCAATTAGACAGATGATTTTTACTGACCTTAAGGTGTGATGAGTCTTGATCTCTGCAATCTGCACACATTCAGCCCTTACTACTTCGACACCTGCTGCTATTGGAATTTTTATGTTTTGATTTTGTTTTTGCAGTTGACAAGAATGGCGATGTATGTATTTCTATTTTGCATGAGCCTGGAGAGGATAAATATGGTTATGAAAAGCCAGAAGAACGCTGGCTTCCTATTCACACAGTGGAGACGATCATGATTAGTGTCATTTCAATGTTAGCAGATCCCAACGGAGATTCTCCTGCAAATGTGGATGCAGCGGTAAGACTGGGGAATTTTTACTTTTGGGGGGGTTCAGTGCACTAGCTTCCCTTTAACAATCTTGAGAGTGGTGGTCATGTTCTGTCTTTCATATTCATCTATTGAAAGACAGTTTTTAAGGGATGCTTGTGTTAACATTATCATTAGATTGTTAGAACACTTAATCACTGCAAGACAGTAATAGTTCTTACTTACACAGAAATAATTTACAAGAATGACAGATGGAAAGATACACAAAAGTATGAACCTTTAGCAGAAATGACTCATCAGAAGAATGCACCATGACTGAACTTTTATTTTCTAGACGATTTATTTAAATTCACAGTAGCCACTGGTGTCAACTAATGCCTTAAAGTAAAACATTTAAAAGAATAAAAATGCATTTTTATGGTTTTTAAGACTCTACTCAATTTCTGTTCAAGTACTTTTATTGGATTCACAGTTCTTTATATAAGTTTGCCTTACAGATTTAATATCACTTTTTGTGATAAGTAAAAATGTTTAATATTCCAATTCTGAAAGACCTTTGTACAGGTATTACTCTCAGATCGGAGAGAACAGTGGCTGAATGAGGATTCAGATCCTCTTTTTGTTTGTACCATACCAATATATTGCATTCTTTGTTCTGGTGTTGCCCATCCACTGTGCCGCACTGGTTCAGCTCCTTGAAGTGAAGGGGTTGGTTCACGCTTCTGTTTAAAATACTTTGTGCTTATCATTGTCTCTGCATGGAACTGTTATGATCTCAACACTTTACGAGTAAAGCCGCTCAAAACCTTAAGATTACGATTGTATGCCAGTGCTTGAATATAATGAAAAGATATTTAATGTTGGTACTGTATGTTATAGTACAGAATCTTTTCTCTGTTACAGAAAGAATGGAGGGAAGACAGAAATGGAGAATTCAAAAGGAAAGTTGCCCGTTGTGTAAGAAAAAGCCAAGAAACTGCCTTTGAGTGACGTTTATCCAGCGGCTTGTAGCTTCATATTTTTTTCAGGGTGAGTGATGTGGATTTTGACACGGCTCTTTGTAATACCAGGGCAGATAAAATGAGTAATATACACCACAATGGCCCTGAATAAAGGGTCTCTTTCGCTGTACGGAATTGTAAGTAGTTTTTGTCTAATTTGATTGCCTATGTATGATCTAAATTTGTGATATTTGTAGCAAGCAGCATTTGGACTATTAAGTACAGTGACCGGTACCATCCGGCACACAGAAGACTGCTTTCATTCTCAGAGGTACTACATTTGACTTGAGAAACGCCTGCAAGTGCATTTGCTTTTGCCATGAGTTGAAACGCAGAGGTGGTTTAAAGTGGAGTATGTTGGCCTGGGAATAAAACTTGACTTTTTTTTTTTTTTTTTTTACATTTTGAGCACTTTGTATCACACCTTGTGTGTAACTTGTATAAAACATTTCACTTTGCTGACCATTTCAGTTAAAAGCAAGCCTTTACAGAGTACTGCCTACATCACAGTAAAGCATTGACTCCATTTATTCACTGAGAATAAGCTTGGTTTTAACTGAATTCCTCAGTGTTATGGATTGATTTCTTAATCAAGGTATTGTTTTTTCAAAGAACATAAGATAATCTGTTGGGTAGGGGCAGCTGTAGAATGATTGCTCTCTGTAGAGAAGGATTATTAACTGCACTGCCTGGGCAATTTTTTCTCATACCTTGTCGTATTTTTCTTTTTCTTCTGCAGGTCTCCAATTGAGAAACAACATGGCACTGTTCTCCTGCACTCTACCCACCTTTTGCCGGACTTGTCCTTACTGAGAGTTGGCAGACGCTGACTGGCAAAAGTAGGCTGCAATACAATGCAATGCCAGTCTCCGATGCTGACAAAAGCCTAGCAAGTGCCAACCTAAAAAGATGATTTCGCAATTTTTTTGAAGTCTAATGAACTGCTTCAACCTTCAGGAAGAATTGTAAAGACCTGTACATAGCACAAACATGAACCGGATAATATATAAACTGTTCATATTCATCCAGTGACACATATAGTACCAAATAAATAGCGCTTCTGTAGTTAGAATATGAAAAATGTAAATTCTTGAAGATTTTAGTACCCCTCCCCACTTTCTCCTGTGTACATTAGTTCTGTTGCAGGTTACTATAAAAGCAAGCCTTGTAAGAGGATGGTAGAATTTCATTTTAGGAGCCTGTAATTGGAAAGACTCATGGGTTCCAAAGGAATAATGAAACTGCCTAAAGATTTTCCCTGCATAACTTTGAGCTTAAAATTGCCTTTTTTGAGGGGACAAAACAAAGCTTTAATTATGCTGATCGTCATTGATCACTTCTTGCTCCCTCTCCCTTTGGATGTCCCTTGCTACAAAAAAAAAGCCCAACATTTTAACTAGATTTTTTTTTTAATAACTCAAAATGAAGGTGCTCATGCTTAGGCAAAAGGGCGTTCCAGTCAGTTTTTCAGTCAAATGTGTGGATTCCGCCTTGTAAGTCATCAGAAGAGCTCTGAGGTGCGTCTGTGGATTCCACTCGGAGGTGCTGCATGTGCAAGGAGAGCTTTGTTTTCCCTGTTTTGCTATTTTTGCTTTTTTTTTTCAGAAGTGCCTCCTGTTGAACAGCTTGGTGATTACACTCTGCATTACACAGAATTGGAAATGCAGAAAGCCCAAGATGACATTGCTACGCACCTTTTCACATTTTTTTAAAAAAAAACCTTTGTACCTGGACAATTAAAACTTGGTGTAGCAATATTTTCTTTTTTTTTTTTTGCTTTTCTCCGTGGTTCACCATTTGCACTTGTTCCATTGTAAAGGTTAAGGTGAGATTAGGGGCATTATGGGCCCAGCAAACCCCATATCCAGTTAAGGAAGCAAATTATTTTTACAAGCTTGTTTTTGTCGTGTTCTAGGTAGGGTTATAAAGCATGCTTTAACTGTAGGTTTTCATGTGGGCAGTCTCTGGGTTTGGTATTCAAAATGCTGGTGTGTGTGTGTGAGTGTGTATGTGCGTGCACATTTAATTCCCCTTTCCACTTTAATTTCTTTTATTTTATTCTGGCTCTGATGGACTACTGCAGTTTTCTTGCCTAATGTACAAAGACAAAATACTGATGTATATTTTTCATGTAATGGAAATTGTCACCTTCTGTAGTGTTCTTCCAAAATATAATTTTTTTCCAGTAATTGTTTTGTGTACTCTCTTGCCCTGATCATTAAAACAAATTAGCCTTAATCTTTAGGAAACTGTGACTGTAATGGTTCAACTTGCACATCTGTAATATTATTGGGAGACAAAACAGCATTGTTGGATTTTTTATTTACAATTTTATGGCAGCTGAAGCTAATTCTGAGCATGATAAAGCCATGGTATGTGTAGTCATTGATGCCCAGTTCTCTGACAAATACCAAGAAGGAAAAGTGTCAAAACCATCATGGAGAATTCTTAGGTAAAACTGATTTTACTCTTAATCGGGTTCCTGTTCTCAGTTTCCACTGTGCCATTCTACACCTGCATTTACAGTTCTTCATGCACCACAGTGGCATTAAGGATCATGGCAGAGAACAGATAAGTGTTAGTATTCTCATGCTATATGATTATGTATTCTTGTAAACTACAGTTATTGGTAATGCATTCATACCTCAAAGGATTCCTTCACCATTGTGTTTTTTTTTTAATTCAGTAGTGTGCAATATGTTCTTGAAATGCTGCACAACAGGATAGCCTGATCACTTATTTAACTTTTTATTTATTTGCAATAAATTCAGTTCCTAACTGGCTGAGCTTTGAATTCACCTGTCTGAAGCCGTGTTGCTTCAATGAAGACACTTGCATGCAGATCGATTTATGAAAATAAATATTTTCAGCAGTTCTCTTGCATTTTTGCATTCTTAATACAAATGGTGTAATTATATACAGTAGGTTTAAGAAAATCATCTTAATGGAATAGCAGAATATAGAAGCTGTTATTAAGGTTTAGCTTATCCTTTGAATGCTGACTTGGCCTGTATGAAGTATATCCTGCTTGACTGTTCTGTGTGAAGATGTAATTAACAAATTGGCACCTCCGTGTTCAACAATTGTAAGAATCGAAAAGCAGCTTCTTTTAAGATAATTTTATGTATGCTCATGTTTTTTAAAAATACGGGTAATTTTAGATCGTGCAGGAATGTGATGCAAAGGGTAACTAATTCATAAGGAAAATAGTGATTGCCTTTGCAATTGCAAATGGGAGGAGGCTGATTCTGTTTAACAAAGGCTGAAAGTGTTAATCAATTCAAAATATGCTTTTGTTCAATTTATAAGCTGAATAGGTGTTCTTTTGACTTTTGATCAAAAGTTTGCTTTACTGAAGCACATGCTCAGCTGTGATTCATTCTCGGCCTCTTTTCTGCTGGTGTTGCTGCTAGAACTGCCTCAGCGCTGAAGAGAAGACAATTTCTGCCATCTGAGAAATCTATGAAAATAGTTGGACTAGGTCTTCATCAGTGAGCTCTGGACGTAAGAGATTTGAGAGGATAACGACTTTTTTGGGCTGAAAAAGGATACCCTTCCTCCTCTCCAGCTTTCGGAGACCAACAAGTTATTTTTTATATGGATCTATTCTCTTGAAAGGATTTGTAAAGGGCTGTGGGATAGTAATTCAGACGCGGGGATCTAAAATGACCCGTTTGTTCAGAATGGATCTCCGGTAACGTTTTGGGGAGAACCTGGTGGTTTTAAAATAACGCGCTCATTTTTAGAGTAGTTCGGTTTTGGAAACACTTAAGTGTATGTCCTGGTCGGGTTGAGCTGTAATTAAAAAAAAAACAAGAAGGACCACAGGCAGCGGTGGTGATTTATCTTTTTTTTTTTAACCGCCTATGGGCATGGTCCAATTTAAGTGGCGCTCAATTAACTGTGCATTTGAAAATTAACGTAGATGTGCGTGCAATCTCTGTATTGGCCACCCACGATTCTTTCATCATCACTATGAAAATAAAACGGCTTTTTTCTCTTTTAAACGCCTCATCCCCACCCCCACCCCCGAGGGGAAGAGTCTTCCACTCAACCATTTCGAAAAGGGTGTTAATGCCACCCCCAAACAGAGCGATAGGGGGCGCTCCAGTTCCAACGCATTTTACTTGAAGGACCCTTCCTTGCAGGGCACACGGTATTAAACCCCCCACCCCCCTCCCGAGGAGAGACGCGGGGCTGAGGTCCGGTGGCTGAGACACTGTCCCCATCCTGCCGCTGCAGGCCGCTATGCCGCCCGCAGGCGCACAGCTCTCCGGCCCCGGACCGCCCTGTCTGTTCAAACTTTCTCCTCCCGGCTCTGCCCCGCTCCTCCTCTCGCGATAGAAAGCGAGCAGCCCGGACCCAACATGGCTGAAGGTACAGTGCGTCTCGTAAGATCCGTGCACCGCCTCTGTTTACCGAGCTCGCTGGCTGTGAATTACCTGCCCCGGGGTCGCTCCGGGAGCGGAGTGGGCACCCCACGTCGCCGTGCGTTCGGGTTTTAGGAAGCGTTGGCCGTCGTCTCTTTGCGCTAGAAGTCGTTGTCTGCGGCTCTTGTTTTTTTCCCGTGCAGCGGGGCTGGGTGGTGTACTTGCTGGATGCCGGGGGTGTAGCAAGCTGGATCGTCACGGTTGCATCGACGAAGCATGAATGAAACGCGAAACGTAGTATTTTCTTTTCCTCGGCGAGGCTTTGTGAGAATAAGACTGGTTCCCCCCCACCCCACCACACCCCTTTCTTTCTGGTTCATAGACCTTAGGTTCGGCCATGTCCCAAGTTTAAGACCTCGAAACAATGAGAAACCGACCTTGAGTCTGGTGTCTTCATTCGCTTTTACAATGGGATGCTTTCTGGGGTGGCTGGGTTGATAAATCTGGACAATGTGGCTTCGATATACTGGAGGTCGATTACAAAACTTCAAGACGCCCCCCACCTGTTAAAACAGTATGTGTTACTCGGGGTGTTTTAACAGAGGTGATAAACGGAATATAGTTTATAAGCACTATGGTGTTAAGGGCACTTTCGTCAAACCGCATATTACTCTTTCTTTGAAGACACTGGTCTTCGAGGGCAAAACATTAGGCATTTCATATCAAGGGCATATCGTTTTATTTAAAAACAAAAATCCTGGAAGGCAAAAGTTAAGCCCTGATTTTAATGGCTGACAGAAGAGAACGGATCTTGCTTTGCCGTCTGTTAAAACACCCCGGTTTCTCCCTTCAAGGGAAGACCTGGATTTTTACATGTGTGCGGACACCATTTACTATTCCGTTCATTATTTTCCAGATCGGGGCTTAGAAAATGCGTCTTGGCCTCGCGTTACCGGTGTCAAGTTCCGATCTGTAACAACTGCGGGTGTGACGTTATTTATTTTTCTAGCACTGTAGCTGATACAGAGTTGTAAATATCAGCCTGGGCTGCTCTTAATTACTGCAACAGGAGTGCTGCGCATTTGCAGCAAATGTGCTGCCTGAAGTAGAAAAGCAGTAAAGCAACTGTTCTTTTAAATTAAAAATGTTTTTTTTAAAAAAAAAACCCTGCCTCTGCACTATGGGATATGCTGTTGCCTCTGTCTGATATCATTTCTGTGGTCCTTTTGGAGAACCACTTCCTGACAGGAAAGACCCTTGCCTTGAGAGTGACTCGTCCACCATCAATCAGGTTAGCACTTGCAAACTGAAGACTGAAGCAGGCTGCAGAGTAAGCTGATGGTATTGTTCTGCTACTGTGAAAGAGAAACTGGTGAGGTAGCTTAGCTTCGGAGAGGTCACGAGTTACTGTGCTGTAGTTTCTCTTGTGCTATTTATGAAAGGCCCTGGTACAGTTATGGGAATATGATGTTTTAGTGATCTGAAGCAGAGTGTGCATTTCAAGAAGTTTTCTGCTCTACAGTGGAATGGCCTTACCAATTGGCCTGCAAAGGTGCCCAGCTGGCCTCATAATTCCAGAGCTTGCTGGGATGTGGTAGGGTGGCAGTAGTTTGTGAGCTATTGGGATGGATGCCTGACAAGTACAGAAAACCCTTCCCCAGCACGGGTCTGTCCATCATGGCTTTGATTACGCATGACGAAACCAATGGGAACCCAAATCTGTCAAATGTCAAAAATGCAAATGCAAAAGAATGGAACCACGCCCAGTTATAAGCAGTCCATCAAAAGTATCATTTATGACACGTATAGGTAGTAAAGAATCTATATCCCTTTATTTCGAGCATAAAGGCAGGAACGTCTAGACTCTTCCCTCAAGCTGTCAGACTACTGAACTCCACCCCCACCACTGGCTCACACTGATGTCTTTTTTCTCCAAGATGTATTTTATTTTAAATTGTTGTTGTTGCTGCCACCGCTGTTCTGTGTTTTTGTTTTTGGTGTTTGCTTGATGTTTTTGTATAGACGCATACATGCAAATAAGCATTTTTTATTGCACTTGTGCATATGACAATAAACCATAATTATAGCTAGAAGTATATCTACAGCGCTGCTGCCCCAGCAAGCACCATCCTCTCCCAGTCCTGTGTACTCGGGTGCCACGGGGAATTCAGTGAAGTTGCAGATGCTCTTTTTGACCGTTTTTGCACTTTTCTTTGGTCCATTCTCAAGGCAGCTGAAAGCAGCTGTGTGGAGAAGAATACGTGTGTATGGTTATGACAGCAGACAAAAGCAAAGATTCTGGTTATTTTGCAGGGAGGCATGTGTGTCCTCAGCTTTCACCGTTCAAAGGAAAGATTTTAGAATTTTACCTGTTCAGGACTGTTTGTGTTTGAATTGAACTATATGTATTTCCATTCCATTGTTCTACTGTATATTCCTATTATTATCATCACTCATTTGTGTGTAATATTATAGGAATAAAGGCAAAGGTTAACAACAAGGCAATATTCACATGTCCCTTTTAATAACATGAGGTGTTCAGTTTCTCCAGTGAGGCTTTTCTTATCATGTCACTATAAAGGAATGCAACTCCCTTGTTGGACAAGAGTAAATTTTATTTTCAGAGGGCGTTTTGAATACTAATTCCATTTTAGAGATGCCTTTTCTCTTCTGCCCTGTTTGAGAATGTCCTAGAATCATATGGCCTAGTGGCAACTCTAGTTCATGCTGTGCTTAATTATGTGAATGTCTTCTTTCAGATCTCTGTTAAACAAAAGGCGGTCTTCTTTCTTTGTGCTTGTTGTGTTGTGATCCTCAGTTGTCATTGCTGACATCTGGCTGCCTTTGAGCTTCGCTGCATCACAGAGCCTCGCAGAAAGTATCTTATGTAGCTGTCTGATGTTTGCACTCCGTTCTGGAATGGGGTGTCCTGTTTTTTTTGGTGATGCATCTCAGAATTTTCTTCACGTTATGCGTAAAGAACAGTGGTTTGATTAACAGCCTTAGGATGCCTAATATGCTACTGTTGCAGTTTGTGGAGGCACTACTGGTCTGGGCTGTATTACAATAGCCTGAACAAGAAAAGAACTTAAAACAGGGTGGAAGGGTAATGTCCAGTAAGCCAGTTCGCACTGCCGTCTCAAAAAGTTGAAGTATTTATTTAGAGTGTGGCTTGGGATGCCTGTCTGTGTGCCATTTGCATGTTCTCCCTTAGTGTGAGCTTTTGCCAGGTGCTGTAGTTGCCTGCCTTTGTAGGACAGGCTTGATTGGCTATTCTAAATAGTTCTCGTCATAGGGTTTCAACAATGAGGGATTTGTTCCCAGTACAACTAGTGCTGCCTGTGGGATTAGAGAAAGAAGACCATAACAGACAGAACGACCCTTTGTCATTTGTGGTTTATTTGGTGTTCAAATGCTGCCTTATTGTGACCCAGATCATTCCATTTCAGGTTAAAAGACTGAGAGTATTGTGGAATGTCAGTATCTGCTGGGTTCTGCAACTTCTGCTTTTTCATAAAAGAGACATTTCGGCTTTCAAATTGTGCAATCATACGCTAGGATCTGAAAAGTGTGGATGTCTGGGTTCATGCCTTGTTGTTGGCCAGTGCAGGTTTTGTCTGTGCCATTGGAGCTTTTCGGTGTACTTGTGGTTGTGCTGGCTGAGCAGGGAGCCCAGTTTCCAGTTCCCTCCTGATGTGAGCGTACAGCCTGTGGAAATCTGCAGAGAGTATGTAGCGCTGCCTTGGGAAACTGCCAGTTCAGCATTGTGAGGAAACTGAAACTTAAGACAGACTTGAGAAGGAGAAATGGGAAAAATCAGTTTCAGCCTTGTCTAGCTTTGCCCTGACACTTATGGTACCTTTTTTTTGGTCTCCCTAAAACTCCTAGTGGTGGTTGATCTCTGTTGGATCACTCCTTTTGTCAAAGAATGTTCTAAACCCTGTGCTGTCAGATTCCTTTCCTGTAGAACAACAGGAAATGTCAAACTCTGCTGGCTGATTTGTCAGATGTCATATCCTGAAGTGAAAGTTCACTGTTTTGTGGATAGAGAAAATAAATCCTGTCTTTTTTTCTTTTCTATTTCTCATTATATTCTAGATTAACGATACATATATGTATGTAGGGGTCATTTGTTAAATTGACACAGAGCTTTATGAAGTGATAGCTGAATTGGAAACTAGAATAAGGAGGATATTAATTTGGAGTTAAAAAACAAGGATGTGGGGAAACCAAGGAAGGAAACAGAATATCGAATCATAAGACCCAGATACAGCATGCACTGTTCACACACAGAGTCTCTTAACTCCACTACTGCCCAGGGCAAAGAGACTCATGAACGAGGAGGTTCCAAATAAAGATGAGTCAGTTACACTAATTAATAGTTCAGGAAACATTTACACACCAGGCATTAAGACCATTTGTGGAAGCAACTACAAAGAATAGCTAAGAAGTAGACTGGAAAATGATAACAGGGCAAATAACATTATACACAGCTGGCAGGCAGGAGCTATGCTGCAGTTACTTGAGGTGGTAGGTGGCTTCCTGTAGCTGGTGTTCTCTACATTGGTGTTCAGATAGCTATTTGTTTTCACACCTAGGTCCTGGTCTGAAATCAGCATATTACAGTATCTTATTTAATGACTTGTAAACAACTGTTTAAACCGAACTGAATCATCTAATTACTCGGACAAGAGTGTGTTACAGTGGTAAGCATTGCTGACTCACCATGCTGGGGCCCTGTGCTCAGGTCCTGAGATACTATCTGTGTGGAGTTTGTATGTTCTTCCTGTGTTCGCATGGGTTTGCTCCAGGAGCTCTGGTTTCCTTCCCACAGTCCCACGACATACTGGTAGGTTAATTGGCTTCTGGAAAAACTGGCCCTGGTGTGAGTGTGAGGGGAGAATTGCTCAGCCGAGAGTGGGTGTCTCACTGGTGCTTTTTGCCCCTGCCGTGCTTCAGAGGAGGTGGCCAAGCTGCAGAAGCACCTGGCCCTGCTGCGGCAGGAGTACGTGAAGATGCAGCAGAGGCTGGCCGAGTCGGAGAAGCGGTGCGCCGTGCTGGCGGCCCAGGCCAACCAGGAGAGCGCCAGCGCCACCTTCATCGGCCGCCTGCTGGCCATCGTGGCCGAGCTGTACCAGCAGGAGCAGTACAGGTAGGGGGAAGGAGGGCCACACCGCAGAGTTGCTTCCTGGGTCTCGGTGTGTCATTACAATAACAAAAAAACAGTATCTGTTCGCATGCAATGAAAGGGCTGTTTTGTGTTGCTCACGAATATTGAAGCCACTGGTACAGGAACTGAAACCTTTGACCTTTCCCTTCTGGAGTGATGTGGGTCTTACTCCTGTGTTCTGTTTTGTTTTGTTTCTGTTCGCTTTCAGTGATCTCAAAGTCAGGGTTGGCGAGAAGGAATACAGAGCACACAAGTTTGTACTGGCCGCCCGGAGCGAAACCTGGAGTCTGGCCAACCTGGCCACCACTACAGAACTGGACTTGTCTGGTGAGTCAGTGTCTTTCAAGTCTACAGAGCAGGCTAGGGACCAGTGAGCATCACAGAGCAAGCCGTACCCTGTAATTACACTCATGAGCTGTTCAGACACCAATGCCTTAGGAGAGTCATGTTGGAAATCTTTGAAACCTTTAAATTCAACCTGTCATCCTGTAAAGCGCTTTGAGAAGCCACCTTTAAAGGCGCTATATAAAATCAAGTTTATTATTATTATATTATTATTACACTTCGTAGCTTTTTTGAGCCTCGCATTTCTCCTGCTGTGCAGTTGAAGGCGTTCATGTTTGGAAAATATGATTTTGATTCCCCCATTCTCATTATGTACATGATAAACTGTCCCAGAGTGACAAGTCTTCATTTTTTTAAACACTCTGCCCTACAGTTCACTGAATCGCATCCCTGTGCTTTAACATGTTTAGAAATGTTTCTGTGCCAGACTCAGAAACTTTTTAAAATCATTATTCACTAAATGTATTGCTCTCCCTCCACTCCCCGGCTTCTGCCGTCCTCCTCCCTGCTTCTGTGTGGCACCAGATGCCAAGCCGGAGGTTGCCATGGCAATGCTGCGCTGGGCCTACACAGACGAGCTGGAGCTGAAGGAGGATGATGTCTTCCTGACGGATCTCATGAAGCTGGCCAATCGCTTCCAGCTGCAGCTCCTGCGCGAAAGGTGGCCTGTGAGGAAGTCGTGGTGGTGCTCTCCTTTCACTTTGCTTGGTCATGCTGTGTGGCAGCCCAACACCCTGAGATAAATCCCACCTCACCTCTGTACCAGCTGGCAGCTCCAGACTGATTCCCAGCTAATATCTCTACCTTGGCATAACAGGGAGCCAGGCTGACAAGGCTGTGTCCTAAGACATGATCTAAGAATGTAATAAAGTTTAAGGTCAAAAAGAGGCCATTCGGCTCACCCAAACATCTATCTACCTTCTACCCACGTCCTCCAATTCTGAGGCACGGGGGAGCCAGAGCCTGTTCTGGAAAGCATAGGCCATCGCATGGCAGACACAAGCACTCGCACCCGGGCCAGTTTTTCCAGGAGCCAAGTAACCTTCAAGTTGTCTTTGGACTGTGGGAGGAAACTGGGGCACCCAGAGAAAACACGTGATCACAGTTAGAACATACAACTAGCCCCTTTTTTGCTAGTAGCTCATTAATCCGATAGTCCCATCTGTTTCTTGAGAGAAACCAGGGTATCATCTTTAATGGTATGGCTGGGTTGCTTGTTCCAGACTCCCCAATCCTTCACCCACATTTAATTGCAGTGTTCTCATTGCAAGGTAAGGTCAGTACGCTTAATTTAAAGAAACCCTTCAGTTTTGGTCTTTACAGAAGGAAATTTCACTGGCCCTTTGTATCATTTGTATGATATCATACTTCGAAAGAAAGTATCTTGTGAGTCATCAGGATGAAGATAACTTCTTTATCCCAGGATCAGACATTTTGGTATCTGTTCTCACGCAGTCTGTAATGAAGCAATTCTTCTTGGCAGGTGTGAGAAAGGGATAATGTCTTCGGTCAATGTGAGGAACTGTATTCGGTTTTATCAAACAGCGGAGGAGCTCAGTGCCAGCACGCTAATGAACTACTGCGCGGAGATCATCGCCAGTCACTGGGTAAAGCACATTCTGACTTTATTCTGTGCATGTGGGAACCTCCAGCATTCTACTCCAAAAGCATGTAATGTCGACCGTAGGAACATTATACAGTGGAGTGTTTTGGAAGATGTCTCGAAATGATCCACAGCTAGAATCATGTGAAAAATATGTAAAGTTGGTTCACATAAAGAGAGATTTGGACCTCAGATGGTATTAAAATCAGAAGTGCCTGGAGCTCTTGAGGACTGCTGCTGTGAAGAACCTCTGTTAAGTCTCTACATCAGCTGAACTACAGCTATCCAAGGGAACTTGGCATTCTGCTGTAGGGCTTTGTGGAGGAGAGAGACGTTTCGGGCTGGTTGCTCATTCTGCGTGCACTGCTTGTGTGTTGCATGTCTTCTGGGGCTCTTGTGTAACTTCACTGTTGGTCGCTCACAGGATGACCTGAGGAAGGAGGATTTCAGCACCATGAGCGCTCAGCTGCTATACAAGATGATTAAATCCAAAACCGAGTACCCCTTGCACAAAGCCATTAAAGTGGAACGGGAGGACGTGGTCTTCCTCTACCTCATAGAGATGGATTCCCAGGTATTGTCTTGAGGGTGTGTCCAAGACGGTAACAGGTCTGATGCAATCATGTGACTGTAAGTGCTATAGGACCAGACAAGGAATATCCTATTCACAGTGTTACCCTGGTGTCCTGGCCTTTACAAATCATGGCCTCCTAATAATCCCATCTATGAACTGACTTCATTGCTCTGCTCTCCTCCCTGCTGACAGCTGATGTATGGTGAGCATACTGACATATGTTTGCGTAAGCTACCTCCTACCTGGATTTTCCTGTTTTACGTTCTAGAATTTTTTTTACTGTTCAAAGTTCTTTTTTAGGAAGTTCAGTTATGTTCAAGTAAGTTGTGCCATTTCTGCTTATGGTGGGTTTTAATAAGCAGAGCAGCTTGGTGTGTAATGATTACCCAAAATTACTACACTCTGCTGTTGACCTTCAGTCGTTGACTGGCGTCTGAGTCTTAGCTGTAGCCGTCACTCTGTATTGTACTGAAGTTAGATGTAGATCGAGGATCCCATGAGGGTGTGAAAGTGAATGTGATGAGACGGCAACCTTCCGTCGTCAAATATCATTATTCTGTTCTATACCAGCACGCCACCAAACCATGGACAGACCTGTGAGCTGTGTGAGGGAGGAATGTGATAGGAAGCAGCCCGTTTGGGTTCATGCAGAAAAGCATTTTAGTAACCATGCAATAACATAGTAATTCCCTGGGTATCACTTCAGAGGAGAGCGTGGTGCTCAGGGATACCCCAACAGGTTCCAGGCTGGCCCACCTGCTAGTTAGGATGGTTTCCTCCTTCTCTCTCAGTTGCCTGGCAAATTGAATGAACTGGACAACAATGGAGACCTGGCTCTGGACCTGGCTCTGTCTCGGAGGCTGGAGAGCATCGCCACCACCCTGGTCAACAACAAGGCCGATGTGGACATGGTGGATCAGAGCGGCTGGAGCCTCCTTCACAAGGCCATCCAGAGAGGTGGGACAGGGGTCTCAGGCGCAGATAGGTGCTGCCTGTGAGACTGGGACTCCCCCCTTGACTTCGCCAGCGGCACCGGCAGCACATTTCTGCCTTGTGTTCCTGCGTTGATTTCCGCCGCCCTCCGCCTGTCATGTAACAGAGCACCATACAGACAAGACGGTCAGAATCCCACGGGATTTTAAAACTTAATGTTAGCGGTTAATAATTGATTTGAAACATTCTAGGCTTCTGCTGAGAAGGGAAATGCAGCAGTTTTGAGTTTAAAAAAATGTCGGAAGGGCAGCCTGTCATGAAACAATCTGCTATGCTTGCAGATATATAGAGAGCTCACTAAAAATGCCTCCAGTGAGTCCCATAAAGAGAACAAAGCCGTGGACTTTTCTCTCTTGAAAACCAGGCTTGCAGATTTGTCTGGGGCTTGCTATTCCTGGTATTTATTGCCGCCAGTGCAGATCCTCGTCTTTTTTCATTGCGTTGTTTTCATCCAGTTTCAGGGATTTCTGCAAGACAATTTGATCTTCCTTTACCTTGCTGTAGAATTCATCTGGATACAAAAGGAAACAGTGGTTTTGGCTTCATGTCTTGTGTAGCTGGTGCAGCAGCAAAAAAGAAATGTCACAAAGGCTCGACTATTTTTTTTTCTCTTCCAATTTAAATTGCGTGCATCCAGCGTGATTGACTCAAGACTCGTCTAAGCTGTGTTTCTCCGGCTGGTTTCAGGGGATGAATTCGCTTCCACCTTCCTCATCCGTCACTCTGCCCAGGTCAGCGCTGCTACGGTGGGGGCCGTCGAGACCCCGCTCCACCTGGTGTGCTCCTTCAGCCCAAAGAAACACTGCGGGGAGGTGATGGCAGGGATGGCGCGCATCGCAGAAGCCCTGCTGAAGGCTGGTGCCAACCCCAACATGCAGAACAGCAAAGGCAGGCAAGTAGTGAAAAACTGCCACAAAAGCTCCATCAGTCTTTTTGCAAGTTACTTTAATTAGCTTTGTGCCTGTTAAGCATAATATTTAAAGGGACCCATCCATCTTCTAACCTCTTCATCCAGTTCAGGGTCACGGGGGAGATGGAGCCTATCCTGGCAGGGAACAACAGGCAGAAAGCAGGGTACACCCTGGACAGGACGCCAGTCCATCACAGGGCAGACAGGGACACTGACTCTCGCACCTAATTTTCCCAGATACCAGTTAACCCACAGTATGGCTTTCGACTGTGGGAGGAAACCGAACACCTGGACAAGTCATGTGTGAACATGGGGAGAGCATACAAACCCCATGCAGATAGCACCCTAGGGGATGAAACCAGGGTCCCAGTGCTGTGAGGCAGCAAGCAGGGCTAGCCACTTTTCCGCCTTGCCACCATTTGTTTATTACAAATTCCAATGCACAAATGATTAATGATTGAGAAGAGGAAGTAAATCTTAAACCTCACTTGGAAGTGTGAGAAGTCACCTGTGTAGTTGATTCTCTTGCAGGCACAGTGGCTGGATCATCACAAGGCTGGATTAGTGGTGAAAGATTGTATTGTGTCTGCTCTAAAGTGCTGCGTGTGCTTTTTCCCCAGAACCCCTTTGCATGAAGCTGTTGTGTCTGGAAATGAACCTGTTTTCAACCAGCTCCTGCAGTGCAAACAGTGAGTACAGAAGAAAGCATCCGTTGCTTCCCATTATATCATGGCCCTGTGTTTTTAACAATGTAGACTTGATGACTCGCTCAGTGACATTTCTGGTATTCTGATTTTTTTAAAATCCTTCCTGTACAACCCAATCATTTTCAAGGCAGCTGTCACACCTCGGCCTTTTGACAGTTTCTGGCTAGCTCCGTCTTTCATAGTGCTTAAAGAATCTCAATCTGCAGTTTAATTACTGATGCTCTTATCCAATTTGCCTTGTATTTGCATCCATTTATACTATTGGGTCTCACCTGGGATCAGAACCTATAGCTTCCTGTTGTGGGTCCAGAACTCTATCCAGTGCTGTGAACAGATTAGGGCTGTTATACAGATAGCCTTTCTAAACGAACAGTTTAGGTAATAAAGTGTGGGCAGAGCTTCGTTCTAAAGGGCGTTGTGGGTTAAAGCTTGCTTGCGGGACACGGTGGGGATTTTATGCGTCTCCAGGTGGAGAGCGTGATGCAGGTGTGGCTTTTGCTCTGCAGGCTGGATCTGGAGCTGAAGGACCACGAGGGCAGCACGGCTCTGTGGCTGGCCCTGCAGTACATCACCGTCTCCTCGGACCAGTCCGTCAACCCCTTCGAAGACAGCGCCCCCGTGGTCAACGGCACCTCCTTCGACGAGAACAGCTTCGCCGCTCGCCTCATCCAGCGCGGCAGCGACCCGAATGCGCCGGACTCTGCTGCAGGTACTGACCAGACGGCCTGTCCGTCTGGCGGAGCCCGAAATGTGGGCTGTGGGGGGTGTGAGCTTTGAATTAGTCTGTTTTGTTTTTGCTTTGCGTACTCTTGATTTGTACGGGGAATTGTGGGAGTTCTGCCATGTTGTCAAAGCCGATAACCTGGCTTTCAAGAAAGAGCTGCTAACAGCGAAATTAGCTTGAAAGGCGACACTAGTTTGTATTTGTTTCTTATGTTCTAAATTGGGCTTAGTTCAGTTTTTTGGTAAGTTTAAATTTTGGGGGCAGTGTTTATTTTGGGTTACTCATTATGTCCTGTTTGTTTTCCGGAATTGTCCACTCTTTTAGTGAAAGGTAAATTACTTTGAATCACTAATAGACCCTAAGAGACAAGCCCACATTTCCTGAAAGAACTAAATGGAATGAGACGCCTGGTGTGATCTTTTGTTGGAAAGGGCTTGTGTCACGTGTCGGCCCATGTGTGAGCCTTTGTTCCGCTGCCGGTTCCGAGAGTCCTGTAGCTTCAGGGATTGTCAGTGAAACTACTGACTGCTTCTCCTCAGGGAACTGTCTTCTGCAGAGAGCCGCTGGAGCTGGCAATGAAGCTGCGGCCCTCTTCCTCGCCACGCATGGGGCAAAGGTCAACCACACCAACAAATGGGTATGTGCATGAGCTGCTGGCTGCAGTTCTCACGGACCTGTCTCCGATTCCGAGTGGGGAGACAAGAGCCACTGCACATTCAAGGATCTGGATTACAGGAGTGGAACTTCACAAATTAAGTAGCCTGGTTAGAGGCACACTATTGCCATTGATCGGAACTGTTGTACCTCTCTGGTAAACCTCTCAAAAAAACTAGAGGTCCAAATGTAGATTTTACAGCTTTTCTTGTTTAATTGTGACTGAACAGAGAATAGGTATGTGACGGAATGCACTTGAATTAAAGCAAGCTAAGACAAGAAAGGCAAATATTTAGTAAAGAAAGTAAGAAGCTTTAATGATGGGAACAGAGTGCTCAGACTTTAAATATTATGGATCTCAGTGATACTAGCATGGGATCACCATAAATATACATAAAGACTAGCGTGTGGAGACTGTTTTATTGCTTTCATTGCCCCTCGTTTATTTTAACTAGGAGCGCACTTAGTATTAAGAAGTAAAATAACCTCTTTGAACGCAATTTCTTATTGTAATGGAAAATGAGTATGAAAGGAAAGGCAAATATTTACAGGAAAATGTAAGAAGCTTTAACGATGGGAACAGAGTTGGTGTGCTAGCCTGATCGCGCTCTCCGTGCCTGTCTCTCAGGGTGAGACGCCCCTTCACACCGCCTGTCGGAACGGCCTGGCCAACCTGACGGCAGAGCTGCTGCAGCAGGGAGCCAACCCCAACCTGCAGACCGAGAGGGCGCTGCCAGAGGGGCCGCAGGGCCAGGGGGTGTCCCTGCAGAGCCCCCTGCACATGGCCATAGCCTACAACCACCCTGACGTTGTGACCGTCATCCTAGAGCAGAAAGGTCAGAGCTGGAGCCCTCTAACGAAAACCTTCCCCAAAGAATATATCTTCACATTTTTCCTGTGTCAGGAACAAAACCTGTTCTCCACAACTTCAGTGTAGACATTTGTTTAACTTCAATGAACAAGGAATTCCTTACTTGTAATTATAATGGAGAAGTGTGAATAAATAGCCTTTGTTCATCAGATCTGATCTGTCAGCAGATTTTTTTTGTGGATGTTTGACATACAAGAAATTAGAATCTTTTCTAAAACCACTTGCACACACAGTCTGGAATGGTCGTACGACGTTGATCTGTCAGTTTGGGAATCTGAACCATTACAGTTTGATCCAAATTGACATGCAATAAAATGATAAGGATAAATGACAGGGGCGACTCCCTGTTTCTCTGGAGGAGCTAATTCATTTTATAGCTGAACGAAAAGAATTTTATAATAAACTGGGTGATGTCTACAAGTACAGTGAAGATAGAAAATATATGGCAACCTATTGATGTGTCCTGGACTGTTAATAAAAATTATAATCATTGTGCTGAAAATTGAAATAAGCTCAGGTAAGTGTTCATTGTCCAATTTGAGCTTCCGTATCAGTCTGTGATAATCCTCAGCATTTTCTACTTATTAAATATTGAATGTTTTTCAAAACGCAAATAATTGGGATGACTGGAGGCCTAGTGTTCCCGTGATGTAGATATTGAACGTGCAGTAGTTTTCAGTATAGCTTTGTGTAAATGTATCTTTGACATTTTCTAATGTCCAGTGTTTTGTATTTTAACAGCCAATGCACTTCATGCCACCAATAACCTACAGATCATCCCAGACTTCAGCCTGAAGGATTCCATGGGTCAGACTGTCCTGGGCCTTGCTCTGTGGACAGGTAGGCCTGGCATTGCTCTGTGTAAAACTGACTCCCGCTTCACTCTGCAAGGATGCCCATCACAGTAATCTGTCGCTTATCAGGAATTTAAGACATTTTTATCCAAGAATGCTATGGATTTGGATATGTCTATCAACTTCAGGGGGTTAGTCAAATTCTTCAACAAAATTCTTACAATTCTACATCAACAGAGCAAGCTTAGAAAACTGCACGGTTTTCTTGATTTTTGGTGTGAAGATTGGAAAACAGTTCCATTCTAGTTTTTTTATCACCCTCTGAATCTGAGATTGCCAAGTGCGTCTTTACATCTTGGATGCTGTACCAACATGGGAGAAAGGAGGAGCTGCACACAGGCTCCTCTGAGAGCCCTCCCATTGAGACTTGCATCCTGTGACGCGTTGCAGACGGACCCAAATATATGAAGTTCCCCTCTGCCTGGAAGAGAGACATGCACCACACTGAATTTACTGCACGCATGAAGTTGCAATGGTGTGACTGACGATTCCCAATTCTACCTTGAAAGCACTCGGCCAGTCACTACATCTGGATCATAGAGCTTCAGCTGTGCTTAGAGTAGGCTTCTTCATCAGTTGAAGAGCTTTTTTAGTTAAGCGTGTGTTGTTTTTGTCTCGCTCTAAGGCATGCACACGATAGCTGCCCAGCTGCTAGGCTCTGGAGCCGCTATCAATGACACCATGTCAAACGGACAGACTCTGCTGCACATGGCCATCCAGAGGCAGGACAGCAAGAGCGCCCTCTTTCTCCTGGAGCACCAGGCGGACATCAATGTCAGGTATGGAGAGCGTGAGAGAGAGGGGTGCGCCCACTGTTTTTGCTCACACTCTTGCACATCAGCCAGACATATGCCACCAGGGAATTCTCTGCAAAATCAGTTAAATATTTGATGGCAAATGAAAATATCTGAAAGGGCAACTTGGAGTATATTAGTTATGTTTATAACTTTGATTCTGTGGACTGTTCAATCTATGTGGAGTTGCACAGGGAGCAATATGTTCATTGGTGCATTAGTGCTGTGTTGATATTTATTCATATATGGAAAAAATAGAAAATGAATTCTTGTGACATGCCAAATTCAAGTATGTTATTTACAGGAAGTGAAGCTCTTTGATTTATAGTTCTTGTTTCTAATCTGTAATATTTTAAGGCAGAATAAATAGAGTGATAGTACTGGTTTTCATTTTTGAGTCTCTTCATATGAAGTCATCCAAAACAGCAGTCTGGATTGAAATCCTAGGGTGTTTTTCTGTGAAGCTGTGCAAGTTGTTTTTAGCATCAGCTGGTCAGAACGTGTGGTTGTTAGTCCGGTTAGTGCAGCGCGTAGGTGATGGAGCATGATGATGTGTGTACTGCCAGGGCGCGGGATGGCGAGACTGCTCTGCAGCTGGCTATCAGGAACCAGCTCCCCCTAGTGGTGGATGCCATCTGCACAAGGGGGGCAGACATGTCTGTGATGGATGAGAAGGGGAATCCGCCACTGTGGCTGGCCTTGGAGAGCGGCTTGGAGGACATCGCCTCCACCCTGGTAAGACAGGGCACTGCACACTCATCTCCATCGTCACACAGCCCCCGAGCCTCTGAGGCTTTTCTAGCAGCTGGAAGAAGCAGCCTGCTTCTCTTTCTTAGTCCTGACATGTTGCAAGAGCAAGTTCTGTTAGTCTAGTCAAATGCTTCCGATTTACAGAAACTTCAAAGTGTGTCCGTAAATGAATGAGAATGACCCGTTTGTAACATCAGATAACAGAAGAGCAGTTTGGGGTTTTTCTGTGACGCAGGACAGTTCCACAGTGTTTCTGTCCTCTCTGTTTGCCGCTGTCCAGGTGAGGCATGGCTGTGACGCCACCTGCTGGAGCCCAGGGCCGGGCGGCTGTCAGCAGACCCTCCTGCACAGGGCTGTGGACGAGAACACCGAGGGCGTCGCCTGCTTCCTGATCCGCAGGTCAGCCCGAGACCCGCGCTGCCCCAGGCTGTGCTGGCTGAGCCTCGTGAAGTCGATTTTAATTCATCCTTCTGACCTGGCTGTGGGTCTAGTGCTGTTGTGGACAGAGATGGAATTAATCAGCCTGGGGTCTCTTAGCTCCTCATGAAACAGCCACCTCCCAGGCGACTGCAGGCTGGTGGTGAAAGCAGTGTGGGATGTGGGATTCGTACAAGAACATTGAGCTGCGCGTCACAATTGAGCATCAAAAGAAACCTGTCTGTGTGATTCTAGGAAAATTAAAGGTGTGGGTTTTGGAAAATGACTAAATATTTTAGGCATTATTTTGACCGATGGATGACTGACTGATACACTCAAGTGACTTGGACTGCTGCATAATCATTAGATCACCTCATTTTCGAGAGCTGAGTGTGCACACGTGGTTAAGTGTTTTGGGATGTCGAAATGTCAAGACCAGTGAAAAACGAGGAGAAACGCAGAAAGGAAGCAATAGGCCCCACTTACACAGGGGCAACACCTCAGGTGAATCCAGCAGCGATGGATTCAGGTCCTCTTTAGGACCTGTAGATTGTGTAGCCGCAGATGTGCAGCTGAGCTACTGAGGTTCTAGTCTCTTCGGGGTTTTTTTTAGTGAATATTGACTAAGCCACTGCTTGGCACTAGATTGATTCAGGTCCGGGGATCACACTTGGCTTTCCTTCCTAAGGATTACAACAGAGAACTGATCTGATCCAGACTGATCCTGCAGATCAGTACGTGTCCTTATGCTGCTCGTATTACAGTAGTTTGCTTGTGAGATTAGGATGGAAGAGGTTTGATGTGGATGCCCTGATCACCAGGTTTGAGCTCCGTTGTATATTTGGTTTGATGAACTGGCGTGGTGTTTCTAGTACTCAGAAACCAACTGCTTATCTAGCTGGCACGTGTTTATCCAG